AAAATAATATGAAGACCCCGCAATATTTTGGAGGATATTGTGGTGTTCTCAACATTGGTATGACGGTTATCGTTACTCTCTACATTCTTATGGGTTTCTTTGGTTATTTGAAATATGGAACGGCAGCTAAAGGAAGCGTTACATTTAATTTACCGAAAGATCAAGTGTAAGTAATCATTATGTGAATGTTATCGAGAAGAAGAAAAAAAAAAAAAAAAGAAAAAAACAAACAAAAAGAAAAAATAATAAAGGAAGAAAAATAACAATAATAGTAATAATAATAATAATGATGACGTAGATGATGATGATGATGATGTAGACGATGATGATAAATTTAATAGCATGTTAAATGAAAGGTACAAATATTTTTTATCTTTCGATAGGATGGCTCAATCTATTAACATAATGTTTGCGATAGCAATTTTTATAACTTACGCGTTACAAGGATACGTACCTGTTGAAATAATCTGGAAGACTTATCTTGATCAACGTATACAAAATCATAAAATCTTTTGGGAATACGTTTGCAGAACTCTCGTTACATTGGTAACGTGTAAGTATTAATTCATTAATCAATTAATCAATTAATCGTTATTTATAATCGAATGTTATTAAGTTAAGAATTATTTAGATGCTTCTTTCCTTTTTTATTTTTCTCTCTCTCTCTCTCTCTCTCTTTTTCTTCTTATCCTTTATCGTATCGAATGAAAATTAAAAAATTAGAATAAAATGAATCGTACGATTGCAATGAAAATACGAAAGATCATTAAACGATAGATTCGTCTAATAATATTTTATAAAATTTTTCTAAATAAAAAATATTAGGAAATATTTAGACATTGTAATACCTTATTATTATTATGCCTTATTCTTTTAAAAAAAAAAAGGAAATTTTAAAAAATTTAACGACTTCTCATTAGTTATCCTCGTAGTATTCAATTTTGATGAAAATTATAAATTAAGAGGAAACTAAAAAAATGAAAGAGAAAAAAAGGGAAAATGTAATTGATAAGAAAATAATTCATCGTGATTGAATAATCATTGATTATTATACATTGAAGGGGTGTTAAAAATTTTGTAAAAAGAATTAATGAAATAATCAACCTTAAATAATCAATCATTAATCGTCTATTTGCTCATTTAATAATTCTTTTGTCTTTTTCTAAGAAAAAGAAGAAGAAGAAGGAAAGAAAAGAGATAAGAAATATTAACAGATTGTCATACTTTTTATATTATAATTTATTCGTTTAAAAAAAAGAAACTTAAAAAATTGAATGCCAGTCACCAATTGTATCCTCGTGATATTCGAAATTTATAGAAAATTAAAGAAAAAAAAAAAAAAAAAAAAAAAAAAAAAAAGAAAAGAAAAAGAAAAAGAGAGAAAAGAAAAAAATAATTTAATCTTTAGAAATTAATCAACGAAAATTTATAAACTAATCGCAATATAAAATAATTCGTTTATGATAAATCTAATTAATTAATATTTATTATTTGCAGTTACGTTGGCGATCACTATACCAAGATTGGGTCTGTTCATATCTCTTTTTGGAGCCTTATGTCTATCTGTCCTTGGTATAGCCTTTCCAGCCATAATCGAGATATGCGTATTCTGGCCAGATGAATTAGGCCCATTCAAGTTACTCCTAGTTAAGGATCTCTGTTTGATACTATTTGGTTTGATAGGTCTCGTTGCTGGAACTTACGTCAGTGTAGTCGAAATTATAAAATCATTTAATCCTGATGCCATAGATCAGAGCGATTAAAATTTGATCGATTGAAATTTCTTCTAGAGAAGAAATAAGAATAAAAAGATGAAAATGAAAATGAAAAAGAGAGAGATAGAGAGAGAGATAGAGAGAGAGAGAGAGAGAGAGAGAGAGAGAGAGAGAGAGAAAAGGATTGGCACGCAAACGTAAAGCTTTTTCAATTTTTAGAGAAGAATCACGTGCCGTAGATATAATTAATCAATAATGTACCTTCTTATACGTATAATATGACAAGAGAGAGACTAAGAATCTCAAAGCATTCGGGAAATGCTTCTTATATCACCGCCATTAGTATACTTAGACTGTTTGAATCTCTAAGACGATAAAAATTACTTTGTAGAGATATTATATATATATATATATATATATATAATAGAGATGCGATTTTAGTTAGGATAGATTGTTAATTGTACGCGTTTTAACGATCCCGATGAGATGAAAGATATATAACATTGCTTCGAAACTGTGATCGAAAATTTCTATTGACGCATTCGCTTCGCGAAAAGAGAGATCGATCCATTTTTCTTTTTTATTATGTATATCTTTGTGTTTTTTTTTTCTTTTCTTTTTTTGGACTTTTTATTACTTTCTTTTTTTCTTCCTTTTTTTTTTCTTTTTTTTTTTTTTTTTTTTTTGATTTTATTTTTTAACTAATGATAAAATAAATGAGAGAGAGAGAGAGAGAGAGAGAGAAATAGAGAGAAAGAGAGTAAAAAGTAATTAGGTAAAGTAAAAGAGAGAGAAAGAGAGAAAAAGCGAGAAAGTTAAGAAGAAAGAGAAAGAGAAAGAATTGTTATTACTGTTGTTGTTATTATTGTTATAAAAGACTATGCGATGGTTATTTAAACACACGCGTCGACAGTTTAAAAAAAAAAGTAATTAAAGATCTAATTGTTA